CAACTTAAGGTGACGGCCTGTGCTGAATTGGGCGGGAAAAAAGCAGAAGGAGGTTCTTAAAGAGACAGAGGCCAATTTCAAGGCGTTTTGATGAGGAAGTGATGAGAAGATAAGTTTATTTTCTATTTAAACATAAAAACAGCATTTTAATAACAACTAAAGGTGACATAGATACTTTATTATGGTATAGTATTTAAATATATGTCTGAGAAACACATAATATTTCCCCTTTAATGTTGTTCTGATTTGTGTATTTGTGCCCTGCAGCAGGAACTCAACACCAACATCTGAAACCATTACCAGAGAGCTGCTGAAAGAAAATTCTGTTGTTTTTCTTTCAGCTGTTCCCTTCTGCAGGGTCTGCTCCTGTTCATGTCACAGATCCTGTTTGCTGCACACACTGATTGTTTTAAGAAAACATATGATGCTTTTAAATACTGCGTTTTTATCCTTAAACCATTTAGCTGGTCTCGTTAGAAAGTTAACTGCAATGCTTTGGTCTGAATTCCTCCTTATGGTAACTCCACAAGCCCCGCCCCTTTTCTGAGGTGTGTCTCAGATCAACTAATTTTGAGGCTGTCTCTTTAAACCCAAACAAGGTGCTTCACACCCGCTCCTGCTACCAGAGTGGTCCATTGTAGACTGATAGAGAGGTTTACGACTATATAGCTGCGCAGAAACATTTTATTTACTAATTAAAAGGTAAGTTTACTTTGTTTTACTTATTTATTATTAATTAAAAGATGTCAACAAGAGAAGACTTGTTCATCCATCCTTACATGTTGGAGCCAGTGTTTGACCCAAAACCAGAGTCTGACCCAAAACCAGAGTCTGACCCAGAGCCAGAGGACAATGAAGACCACCCAATCATAGTTGGTAAGTCAAGAAATTATTCAGCAGTTCCGTAGCAAATAATTTAACGTTTCAGAAAAATTAAAAACAGAATAATTCAGGCTGAAAAATATGACCCAAACAAAATGGCTAAATGTGAGTGAATCAACACTGAGATATGTTCAGGCGTGATATTGAATCTGTAAGAGTGGGCTTAAGGTGAATCAAGCTTTTCCTACATCTCTCATACACAAGGTTATCAGGAAAGTTTTACCAAGGTATTTCTCATTACTTGTTAATTTCTTGACTGTGCGAAGTGAAAAGTGACACAATAAGTGAACGTTCAGACGAGTTCAAGTTGATCCATAAAAGACTATGTAATCATTTATTTACACAAACTGAACAGATCATAAGTTACACCTGATTGTGGTTATTCCTATAACAAGCATCAGAGTTAAATGAGATAAAACTTGCGTCCGAATTTCAATTCACATCAACTCAGATTACTTATATAGAACAGTAAACGTCAGTTCTGATGTTCACAACCAAACAATTTTACTGGCACTTTTAGCTTAAGTTTTGGCAAATTAAGAACAAGGAAAGGAGGAACGTAAGATTAGTATATTCTATAACTTTTACTTTTATCAAAGTGTGGGTCAACCAGTACTGCACGTCTTTTCTAAGCTCAAGTTCCACATGACACGTCACTCCGAACACATCAACTTTACCTGGTGATGACTTCTTAAGACACCCTCGGGGTAGGAGCTGGCTCGCCTCCGATCAGTCAGGGAACTGATGTCGGCTCGCTTACCGGTCATTGGCGANTCAGCGCGTCGAACGCTCAGATCGTTCAGATCGTTCAAATCGCGCTGCTCTAATCACGCTTGAGGCGCCGCAGAACTTCCCGACGTTGCTTTGAAGCGCGTCCACCATAGACTTTGCATGTAAACCTGCTGCTCCTGATGCTGAAATCGCGTTTGGTGTGAACGCACCATAAAATGGAAGTTTACACATCAATAACTCTAAATTTTTTATTTTACTTATCAGAAAACATATATACAATATCTCTTAGAAACATTTATAACGTATTATTTAGTTATTTTATTTATTTATTTTTGTGTACAAAAAACTAGTGGTGGGGCAGTGCCCTAGCACCCCCCATTGACCAGCCACCACTGCTGGTGAGCCATTATAAAAATTTGAAGCTCCTTGGGTTTTCTCATACTCTGACAATTTCAAGATATAAAGGTTGAAAATTTTCCTCTACAAGTAGTGAATCTACATAACATACAAGTTTCACTTTCTGAAATGACTGTCAAAAATTGTTTTCACAATATTCAAATGTTCAAATATTCATTTTTAAGATGCGTCTACATTTGTCTGATCTACATCAAATATTTAATGTCACCACAGTTCACTGTATAGAACTTCAGTTCTTCTTTGTCCTTCACTCCAAGGTCTCAAGGTCATCGCTCAGAAGTTTCCATGTGGAATGACGACAGGCTCCTTCCCAGTCTCATGCTTGTCCTCCCCCAGTTCAAAAGGCAGGAAATGCTCTGTTTTACAGCAGCCAGCAGAGAGGAGGTGCAGGTTCACATTCAGTGAGCTGGCAAACATCCAAGAGCAACTAGAGGAGACACTCATTCCTAACAAGTCCAACAGTAAGAGACACTACCATCGACACACTAATCTGGAGTTTTTTAAATGGGGATTTTCATTTTGTTCTTCCTGACATTGATACTAAAACAGGAGAGAGAGAGAGAGACTTTAATCATGTTTATTATGGTTCACTGTTTTATCCATGTCTGGCTCCCTATAGCATGATTCAGTAGCAATTCATATTTGTTCAGTGCCCAAGAGGAAACTGGAAACCATATTAAACATGGCTCTGGAACCATGGTTAGAACAGTTGTCCTCCAACATGCCATTAAATATCAGTGTGCCTATTGTTGTCCTCAGTATTATTATTTTCAGGACCCAGTCTCAGTTAAACAGCAGAAGATTATTGTTTTTACCTGATTAATATTAATATTAGGGCCTGTACGCTATCCAACAGTAGAAGGCCCTTTTGTTTTTGACCTGATCATTTTATTTTACTCCTGACTGGAGGCTTTTTGGATGTTCTACCATTATAAAACTTGGCAGTTTTTTTTAAAACTAGCTTGGGAATGGGGACGCGCAAGATCCAGATGGCAAATGGGCTCTTTGCTCCCTCTAAACATCAGACCCTCTTGCTACTTCACCATACACATGTGAAATTAGGTACATAGGTATATCAGTACAGTACAAACAAAAAACATATTGGCCCCATAATGTAAAACCTAAAGGAAGTTGGCCATTTTCAAATTTTGGTGAGTCTCACTTGTTACGTCAAATTCTAATTTGTCCTCAAATTTAAGTGTATCCACTTCAAATTCGGACCAAGGTTTTCTTGACGAGATGGTGCACAGAAGTTATCAATGGTCTTTCCAGTGTTTGAATGATGTGGGTGTGGTAATTTTATTTGAATAGCCCCATTTCAATTTGAACACATTGTGGATAATTCGTCCGTCCATCTTCCTCTTATCCGGGTCAGGTCTTGGGGGCAGCAGCCTCAGCAGAGACCCAGACTTCCCTCTCTCCAGCCACTTGGACCAGCTCCTCTGGGGGAATCCCAAGGTGTTCCCAGACCAGCTGAGTAACATAGTCCCTCCAGCGTGTCCTGGGTCTTCCTCTGGGTCTCCTCCCAGTGCCCAAGATTGACCAGAGTCAAAGGTCAAAAAAATAATTGCGGATTGCTAGTTCTGCTGCTTCTTGGTGTTTTTGTTACATTTATGGTAGGGCTTCAGTAAGAAAACATGCAGATATATTAGTAATTTTAAACTGTTTATTGTAAAACTGATGCAATATATTCTAGGTAGCCTACAGGATGAACAGGAACCCGTTCATTTCAAAATAAGAGCGTATCGTTTGAGCTTCAATACGACATGAGACAGCGGGTGGTGAAGATCCAGCGGGACATAAATTATAATTCCTCCCTCTATCCTCCCAAAGTTCATATAAGTATATAAACAACAGTATTGATGGCTGGATATTGTTTGTTTGTGGGAACTCTACTAAATGGAAACATCACACAGAAGGAGAGTCAGTGAGAGTATAAAGCTCTGTAACACAATGCTGCCTGAGGGGGCGCTGTTTCCACACAGTAGAGCTCCATTGTGTTAACAAAGGTTGGCTTTCCTCCAATGTTCAAGAAACTGATGATGAAACTTTAATGAAATATATTGCTACAAAATGCAGCGCGTTTAGACGGCTCTCTCCTTTAGACAATAGTGATGGTTGAACTTGTAATGTTATTTGTGATTAGCGTTACTCAATTCTAAATTTAGAAAGCACAAATCTGCACGTCTTTTGAAGAAATCAGTAAAACACCTGAAGCACAAAGGAGAAATTTTGGTCTGCAGTTAGTGGTTTTTCACATTAGGAGACTAGTGCCCACCACTGATAATCACATTCCACACTATCATCTACAACAGCCCAAACATTTTTAAACCAAGATCTACTTTTGAGGCTGCCGCTTTGCCGAGATCTACTTTTCTATCCAAGGAATCAAACACTTCACATTTGTACTACCAACTAAATGTTTATTGTTTATTTAAACCAAAAATAAATAAACTGATTTTATATTTTTTCACATCATGGCAATTAACATCTTTAACAAAAATCTAAATGTAGCACTTGAAAAAATAATAACAATTGAAAATAATGCAAAGAGTTTGCACATTTCCACATGTTGGGCTACTATATTTCTGTAAGTTCCAAACCTCTCAGTGAGCCCTGGACTTCAGCTGAGTGTCATTTTAAAGTGTGAAAATCTCATCCTCCAGATGTGTTCAGGTGAAACAGTGCTGCCATCTTTGATGAGAGGGAGTCAGCGTCAGCATCTTCTTTCAGCAAGGCATCTGAAATGGGTAGCACAAAAAATTAGCCAAAACATATTGCACAAATACAGCTCTGTACATTTTGTGTCCTGTTTTGCCTGCCCTACCTTGTTCTGATGACTTGGACTGAATGGAACCAGCCAGGGATGAAAAGTCTGGACAGGAGCTCCTGACAGACACCCTCACTTCCAGATGATCATCGGTCATGGTGGAATGGTGTTTTGACTTCATAATCTTCATGTGGGAAAAGGCTGACTCGCATAGATAAGTAGAGCCAAATAATGCAGTCAAAGAGGTTGCACGTTTCCTTTCTTCAGAATAGCAATGCAAAACTTAGAGATGAGGCAAATGCAATTCGAATGTGACATCGTGAAAAAAAAGTCTGCCTCACATTCCTTATGGAAGTGATAGGTTTTCTGCTTCTTACTCGGTCCAGGTTCCAGGTTCCCCACTCATTTTACTTTCGCTTTTTGGTTTAGTAGAAGTTTTAAAGTACAACTTACGACGTGACTCTGTAGCATGCTAACTAGCAGTTCATTAGCTTGCTAGCTAGCCTATAAGTAGCAGGCGGCAGGGTGCGAGTGAAGGCGCATGCGTGGTGTAGTGACTCGTATGTTAAAAAAAACAAAAGCTAGGCCATGACTGGCTGCTCTGTATGTCGATCAAGTTACAAACATCATTGTGCCGACGCATGACAACCTATCATCGAGATCTCCTGTAGTTTTTATGCCAAATAAGGCGATCTACCGACACCACCTCTGCAAGCGACTGGTAGATCAACGTAATGGGCACCCCTGATCTACACCATCAAACCTACAGAAGAAGCTGTTTAACTCTTCAGCAGAATATTGTTTATGAACTGCAAGTCCTGCTTTTTTCCTGTTTTCTCCATTAAGTTGTTTAGGCCCTCCCAAGCCTGTTTTATTTAACCACCAATTTACTCTCTTCTTATTTTATGTATAATTTTTGCCTTGAGGATATTAATTGTTTTGTTTTCTTACAGCTGGGTGATATGACCCAAATTTTATATCACGGTATTTTCAACAATTACACCGGTTTCATGGTATTTGACGGTATTTTCTTTCCTCACAGCTCAGCTGATAATGTACAAACTTTGCTTATTGACTTTTTTCTTTTACTGTACCTCTGTCTGACTGTTTCCCTCCTCTGTCTGACTGTTTCCCTCCTCTGTCTGACTGTTTCCCTCCTCTGTCTGACTGT